GAAATATGCAGGCAATATTTTGGAAGAAGACTGGAAAATTAGCAGGAAGAATAATATTTGTGGCGTGTTTGTTAATCACTTCCTTAAAAGCATTTGCGACCAGGATATCGCATGCTCTCGACAGGAAAACACAGATTCACTAAGAACATATAGGTTCAGAATTTCTCAGGCAAGATGAAGGCTTTCAGCGTGTTTTACTAGCAGAGATGGAGTGTGTTTATATACTAAGAGTATAAACACCCCATCCAGTGAACTGCTACAAAGAAGGAGAGCAGGGGAAGGAGTGCCATCATATTCCACGCACGTTCACAGTTTGTGATTAGTGTGCGGACAAGGTGGTTAAAACTCTTTAAAAATAGGGGTTAAAATTTATGTGCGGGACAAAACTTTGACCACACCGCGTCGCGCGTGCGAACCGACCCGAGCGGGCGGCGCGCGCGGGATCTCCCCTTGTCTCCTCTTCATAACACTTCAAGTTTTCTAAATTGAGTGGTAGTATAAATAGTGAGAGATAGTGAGATAGATAAGCAATGTGGGACAATGCTTTACACTTAAATGTTCCCAACATCCTGCTATGCTCAAAATTAGCTCTCAGTTGTTGTTATTACTGATGAGGATATGCTTGAAAAATTTCATGCATCAAATATTGTGTTACAACAACAACATAGAGAGAAAGATTTTATCAAATACTCTCAATTGATTTCATGCCTTGTAGTGGCTGAATAAAATAATGATCTGCTGTTGAAAAATCCACGAGGCACGCCCTACTCGTTCAATCACATTCCCTGAAGTGAATGAGGTATTGTATTATAATGAAAATACAAAGGGTTGTAGCCACGGTCACGGTCATGAAAGATACTGTGGTAAAAATCCCGGTAGTGGTCAAAATTGTTATGGTGGTTATAACTTCAAAAGTAAAAATTACCATCGAAAATGCTAGTACACGACGAGAAAAGGCGTGAAAATTATCCCAAAATGAAAGTATAGATGGCAAAAATGGCCATTTGGAATACGCTATCTGCCAAATATATATCAATTGATATATATGTTAATTAATTATGTCTTGAAGAGACATTCGTCTAAAAAGACGAAATACCCAGTGGTGCACCAAAGAATTATAATACTGGGATGCGGAACGACCAGATCTGAATATGGGAAAATGACCATAATCTGGTTGATTTTGAAATTGCCATGAATTATTATGGATATGGCCATATGGGAGAAAATTTGTGAAAATGTTTTCGACAACACAATTGCCTCAACAATTGCTCAATCTGGATCCAGAGCTTGGCACAAAATGTGCCTTGAAAATTTGATATATAAAAGAGCAATTAAGGCATAGCTCAGCTCGCTATTCACTAAATTATGTGTACACACCATTGAATAGGTGTTGGTACGAAAGAGAATAATGATGTGATAAAAGGCGAAGCTTGGAGCTCATGGGTTTACAAAGATACCCATAATTGATATACTCTCCCAAAATGGATTGGCAATAAATTCGCTGATTAAATTAACAGTGAATAATATGCAGTGAAGAAAAGTCATGACCAAATGGGTCATTGGACAATATATTTGAAAAATGCGGTATGGATTTGAAAATTCTCAAAATGAGAAAATGTGAGAATCCCAACATGAAAAGTATTATGGTCTTTATATGACCTGAAATATTTGAAGATTGACTGAGTAGGCTTTCCTCTTGAATAAGGAATATGCATATAGTAAGTGTAATCTTTAAAGAGTTATGAATGGAGTTATTATCCTCATGAAGAAGGAATAATATGTACCATTATATGCTCAATAAAGGATTACTGATGAACTTATTGATTATCTCAGTCAATATTAATGGTGTAAACATCAAATGAAATACATAAAGAACTTAATGATGTTAGCTTATGTCTAAAGACGGGGTTATTGAACTGAAAAGCTTAGAAAAGCTAAGTGTTATCTCGACTTAATGATCGAGTATTTCTTTAATGGAATTGTATACACCAGTTAGCCAATATATGATTTTGATTAGCTATATAGACAAGCCAATATATAATGGGCTACTTGGGTATTGGCCATTATTATTGTATTCCCATGAAAGCCAAGTACCAAAACTGGTTGTATTATACCTATCCCACGTTGTTCTATAAAAGGACAACAAAGATTGTGTTGCACCAATGAAAAATGAATATTGATGAGAAGTTTTGGCTAGAAGTTATGATGCCAATGTTATACTCATGTGAGCTCTAAAAGAGCCACGAGATTACACCTTATTGATAGTCGAACATGTTTGTTCACAAAAATCCCTCTCTACATTTTGAAAGTTTAATACAAGGGATTTAAAGAATGTTATCTTTAGGGGAGTATAATGATTATGAATATTATACCCTAAAGTTTATGTTGAGGTTATGGTTGTACTCTTTTTCCCTTAGCTAAGTTTTTTCCCATTGGGTTTTCTTAGCCTAAGGTTTTTAATGAGGCAACCGGTGCAACACATAATTGAACATACATCATGTACTCTTTTTCCCTCGACTAGGTTTTTTTTTTTTTTTTTTTTTTTTTTTCCACAGGTTTTTTCTAGCGAGGTTTTTAACGAGGCATGAGTATGAAGACAATACAATATGTATTGTCTAATTGGAGAAATGATACATTATGAGAGATGGAATATGACACCCTTCTTCAGTGTTATCATTATCAGGGGGAGCAGATTATTGTACTCTTTTCCTTTAACCAAAAGTTTTTTCACATTGGGTTTTTCTTTGGTAAAGGTTTTTAATGAGGCAATAAAATGTTCATCTTTTGAACATCCAAGGGGGAGTGTTATGAAACAGAGCAAAAAAGGTGTGGATGTCCAAGTTGAGATTTGAAGACAAGATCATCATTATATAAACACCTAGTTTCCTACCACCAAGCTATTAGCACTTTTGTGTCATGACATTCATGTAGTAAGTATTGAACTAAATGTTCAATATGATCAGATTCCAAGTTCCAAAGAAAAAGAGCTGACTCATGATAAAAGAAGCAAATTCATGAGGTAGGAGTCAAACACGCGTCTTCAATATACCACAGAGGTGTTTAGTCATCAGGTCTACCAATTAAGCTAGCTTTGCTTTGTGTACACTTTATGCAAAGAATGTATATGTTTATTTCATCTCTAATACTATAAATTCCCCCTCACGCTTTTTAACCCACAGACAAATGAATAATATAGATCCATCTCTTCCTCCTCCATCTGCTGTTGTTCTTACATACTAATATATATTATTGTTGTTATTCATAACAGAAAACACATTATTATTATTATTATTATTATTATTATTATTATTATTATTATTATTATACCAACAACAACAACAGTCAAGCACATTGTGCTCAGCTGACATGTAGTGAATCTCCCATATGAGAGGTCATGAGATCAAGACGGTACGAGACGGTATTGACTCTTCGTGCTGAACAGATACTACAATGTAATAAAGTTAGTAGCTTCCAACAAAAAATAATAATAATGTTTTTTTTAATATTATAATTTTATTTTTATTTTTATTATTCTACTACTACGACGTGAGTTGGGGTATCCAAGTCATCAAAGAAATGCATATGCATTATTTTTGTTTGTAGCTATTAATTTATTTAATTTAAACCCAAAAGCCTTACTAGCGGTGGTGACGGCGCGATGAAGATGCTGTTGCACCTCATGCGATGAAGTCGGCGGCAATTGCTCGTCTTGCGATGAAGATGACGAGGATGACAGAATAGTTGCGATCTTCCTGGTACGCTTTAATAAAAGAGCAATTTAGTTTTATTTACCATATTTATATTTGCCTTACTTAATAATTATATATTTATATATATTAATTTTGGTAAATGGTAATTATTTAGTTTAATATTGCCATATTAATATTACCTTAATTAATATTGTAAATGATTTTGGCAAATGATAAATATTAAGTACTTGCTTAATTTTGAAATAATAATGCCTTTTCGTTGTTCTTTCAAGGGAAAATGGCACTTTTTCCCCCTGAGTTATATACCTATAGCATTTTTGCCCCCTAAATTATTGAAGTGGCTGTTTTCCCCCCTGAAATGTTAAATGGACATATTTACCCTTCAACTAAATATTTAATTTATTTTTTTTCTCCAACAAATTATGACCATAATTTGGTTCAAACCAAACAAACACTATAGCAACCAAACCGAAATATTCCAATTACAATTTAGAATCGAAATCCGATATTTAGAGTTTATTAAAATCGTGAACCAGAACAGACGGTTCATGTTCCGAACTGAAAAAATAAAATACATATATTGTTGAATTTATACTATTTTAAAATAAAAAATAAAATTTTAAAATAAAGACGGTTCAAAATCGCGAATCGAATCCAGAACCGCCGGTTCACGGTTCAAGATTCAATTTTTTGATACATAATTTTAATAAATTGACATTTAAATATTGGATTCTAGATCTGAATTATAACCGAAAACTATTAATTCGATTGCTATAGTATCCGGTTCAATTCAAACCGAACCGTGGTCATCCCTACGTATACGCAATAATTTGTTGGAGAAGTAAAATAAATAAAATATTTACTTTAAGGGTATAAATGTCAATTGAATATATCAGGGGGGGGGGGGGGGGAGGAACACCACTTTTAGAATAACTGAGGAGGCTAATGTGCTTACCTAAATAATTGAGGGGGAAAAAGTGCTATAAGTATATAACTCAGGGGTAAAAAGTGCCATTTTCCCTTCTTTCAATTTTGGCATTAAAAATTTTAAATTGAGATTAATTATGGCATTATTTATGATTGAATTATTGCCATTATTTGTTCAATTATAGTAATTCTTGTCGCAATTAAATTATTATTCAATTTTGAGCAAACATTAAGTATTGAATTTGAATAGTCATAAAGCTCTCTAGCTTATGACCTTTAGACCTCTGTTTGGTAAGTATAGAGCGATCCCTTTCTCCCGCTCTTTCCTTTTCCATGCAAAATCCGGTGGGCTCACCACCGATGATGGGTCCTCCGCCGGATGGCGATCCGGCCAGGGCCGTCAAGAAGTTCAGAACGACGAAGCGTTCATTCGAAGACACGGCCCTCGCGTCTCCCGTCTTCGGAGAAGATGTCATGGACGAGGCTGATAATTCGACTTGGATCAATGAAGACATCTTAGCAGATCTAGACAGAGAGGTGGTAACTCCGGAAAACCCATTGGGCCTTCCGGTGGTAAAGTTCTCCAAGGAGTTCCGTAAAGAACTTGTCATGCCATGGATGAATGCTCTCAATCTCAAATTCCTGGGAAAGCGCATTGCGTTCAACATACTACTTAGTAGACTCACAAAAATGTGGAATCTGGACGGACGATTCGAGTTGATCGAGCTCGGCCACAATTGGTTCACCGCTCGTTTCGATCGAGCCAGCGACTGCTTCAAGATGTTGGTGGGCGGCCCTTATAAGGTTTTCGACCATTACGTCGTCCCACAACGCTGGATTCCGAGGTTTGATCCGGTAAAGGGAAAAATTGAGAAGATGGCTGTTTGGGTAAGGTTGCCGGGACTTCCCGTTGAATGCTTTCGCGACGATGCAATTAAGCAAATTCTGGAATCGGTGGGGAAGCCTCTAAAGCTTGACCGCACAACCGAAGGTATTGAAAAAGGGCGATTCGCAAGAGCGGCGGTGGAGATAGACCTTAAAAAACCACTAGCATCCATGGTCATTGTTGAAGCAACAAGTGGAATTCGAAGGCTTACATACCATTTGTTTCGACTGCGGGGAGGTTGGGCACCGGGAAAAGGACTGCCCGAAGAAGATTCCGGTTGAACCTGTCCAAACAGTCCAGCCGGATCCATCGCAGATGGCGGAACAGTCTTCTAAGGTCGTGATGGACCCCAAACCGACGGAGCTCAAGCGCTATGGTCATTGGATGATTGTTCAGAATAAGAAGACGCACAGCAACAAGTCTGGGCAAGGTAAACAAGCTGGGAAAGAGAGCAACAAGGTGGCACCAAAGGGGAAGCAGGTGGCTTCTTCTAACAACCAGTTATCAGCTCTTGCGGAGGCAAATGACACGGACCTGAGTGATAAAGGTGGTGGTGACACGAGGGTTGAGAAAATGTCTGGAAGTGAGGCACACAAAGAAATCCCAGGTTCCTTACTGTCATCGAATGAAACTCCCTCCTTGGTGCGTGTTCAGAGTTCTCAGTGAAAAGGGGGCAAACAGCCGCCTACTGCACAGGTGGAGAAAAATAAAAATACCACTAGACAGAGGAGTGGTAAGTCGAAGGGGAAAATTGCCACGCAAAAGTCCAAGTTTCCTAGCACAAGCATGACAAATCCTCCACTGGAAAGATCTTTTTCCGAGTCTAGACCGTTCTTTTTTTGGGCAGCCTTCAGCTGCAGTTGTTCAGCCGATGGACTTGAATAACGCTCTGGAGGATAGCGGTAACCTTTCTTCCTCCCCCTTTCTTGTTTCCCAATGATTGTTGTGTCTTGGAATTGTAGGGGGGTGAAGAATTGTGGTACGAGACGTCATGCCAGGGAGATCCTGAAGTTGCCCGAGGTTGGGGCAGCTTGTTTTTTGGAAACAAAAACTAAGTCCGCCGAGAGCCTCCTTAAATTGGCGTATAAGTTAGGGTTCTCGTCCTCTTTCATGGTGGACTCATATCGGTTTTGCTGGAGGTCTTCTGTTAGTTTGGAACAAAGACCGCATTCCACTTTCTGTGGTGGGTCATAATACCCAAACAATTCACACTCTAGTCCCTAGACTAGATGCTAAGTCTGTTCGCCTTTCTTTTGCTTATGTTCGTCCTAACCGTAGGGCAAAGGACATCTTTTAGCAGGATTGTAGGTCTTATGCAAGCTCTTTTCAAGACCCGTGCGTCATGCTCGGGGACTTCAACGACATCACAGGACAGTCAGACCAATGGGGCAATGGGGAGATCCTTCCCAATGCTGTGGACAGTTTCTTAGAAGCTCTTAATGACTGCAGGCTCATGGATTTAGAATCCTCGGGGCCAAGATTTTCGTGGTACAGAAAGGTGGGAGACGTGGTTACCCTTCGTAGAAAGTTGGATAGGGTGCTTTGGAATATGGAAGCCCAACTTCTCTTACCGGAAGGAAAGGCTCACGTTCTTCCGCGCACCCACTGCGACCACCACCCGATTCAGTTTGTCAGCACTGCAGGGACTCCACCCCGCAGGGAGGACAGGCCCTTCAGGTTCGAGGCTTGTTTGTTGCTAAGGGATGACTATAGGGATCTCTAGTTACAGGCTTGGAATTCTTTCTCCGGGAATGTTTCAGGGGCCATGGATAAGGTTGTGAAACTCTCAAAAGAATGGAATTTTAAAACCTTTGGTAACATCTTTCACAGGAAAAAAAAAGATTCAGGCGAGAATTGTTGGAATTCAGTCATCTCCCAACTTTGGGTCGGACATGGGGTTGAGAAACCTGGAGTCTGACTTAATTAGGGAACTCAATGACATTCTCAAGCAAGAAGAAATTTTTTGGTTCCAAAAATCCCGTAAAGATTGGATCCAAGATGGCGACAGAAATACCAGTTATTATCACCGAGCCACCTTGGTTAGAAGAAATCGTGGCCGGGTGACCTTACTAAAAATCAATGGTGAGTGGAACTCCAACCCTCAGGATATTAAAGATCATGTTTCTAATTTCTTTAAATCTCTGTTTGGCAGGTCTCTTTCTAATATTTTGTCTGAGGGCTCTTTTCAACCCGGTCGGTCAATTGAAAACTCCGAAGCTTGGAGCATCATGCGATCGGCCTCCTGGTCAGAAGCACGGAAAGCAGTGTTTGGCATGAAGCGGTTCGGGAGTCCGGGGCCGGACGGGATTCAAGCGGCTCTTTACGAAAACTATTGGGACATTGTTGGCCACCCTATCACAGGGTTTGTCAACAATTGTTTACTCGCAGGTCAAGTTCCTACAGGGGCGCTAGGGGCCTTTATGATGCTTATTCCCAAAAAAGAAAGACCAGAGAATGCCGGGGATTTCAGACCGATCACCCTCTTGAATGTGATTTTCAAAATCGTGTCGAAAGTTCTGGTTAATAGACTAAGACCTATTATGAGGAGAATTGTTGGGCCTTTTCAAAATAGCTTTCTTTCGGGAAGGTCAACTCTTGACAATGTGATTTTGACCCAAGAAGTTGTTCACAGCATGGAGAAAAAGAAAGGTAGGAAAGGCTTCATGATCCTTAAGTTGGATATTCACAAAGCCTACGATAGTCTGGACTGGGGTTTTTTAGAGGCAACGTTAGCCAAAATGAACTTCCCCAGGTTATTTATCTCGCTCATCTTATCCTCTCTTAAAGATTGTTCCATCTCGATCAATTGGAATGGGGGCAAATTATCGCCCTTTAGCGCTGGTCGGGGGGTTAGACAAGGGGATCCTCTCGCCCCTTATTTATTCATTCTGGTCATGGAAGTGCTGTCATGGGCCATTCAGGAGGAAGTCCGGAAAGGGCACTGGAGGCTATTCAAAGTGGCACGAGGTGGTACAGAAATCTCCCATCTTTTTTTTGCAGATGATCTCATCCTCTTCGACGAGGCCTCAGATCAACAACTTCGGGTAATTCTTGTGGTGATAGAGGACTTTTCTAAACAATCAGGTTTGTCAATTAACCTTAATAAGTCCCTTATTTATTGTTCTCCTAACACAAGTGACATGGTTAAACGCCAACTCGGGGATGTGGCAGGGATTCCAATGACGGACAGTATGGGCAAGTATTTGGGTATCCCAGTGCTCCACAAACGGGTCTCCAAGCATACTTTTGGGTACGTCCTTGATAAAATGAAAAAGAAACTTTCGGGTTGGAAACGGGATACGCTTAGTCTGGCAGGGCGCAGAATTCTTACACAATCTGCTCTTGCGACCATTCCAGCCTATTCTATGCAAACCCTTGCACTTCCCAAGAGCACTTGTGACGACATTGACAAAATATGTCGGGACTTCTTGTGGGGAGACTCACAAGATAAGAAAAAAATTCACCTGGTTAATTGGAATGAAGTTTGCCAACCACGCGCGAATGGAGGTCTCGGTCTTAGGAAAGCTTCTCAGTTCAACGAAGCTCTTTTAGCAAAGCTCGCATGGCAGATGTGCTCAAAGTCCGACAAGCTTTGGATTAAGGTAATGAGAGACAAATACGTCAAAAATGGTGATTTTCTCGCATCCCCAACTCCCCCAAATGGCTCTTGGGCTTGGAGAAGTATAGTTAAAGGGAGGGCCACTATCATTGCCAATGCTAATTGGAAGGTCGGGGATGGGCGTTCTGTCAACTTATGGGAGGATTGGTGGGTGGGGGCTAAGCCCTTAAAACTCATAGATTCAGTCACTATTCCCGACAACCTAGACAATTGTGTGGTCAGCGATTTTATCCTACAAAATAGAACCTGGGACCTACCGAAGTTACAAGAAATCCTGCCAAATGAGGTAGTGGACTACATTCGTGCGGTGATGATTCCGAGAGATAGCCAGACCAGCGACTCCATAGGATGGCCAAACGGCAATGCAGGTATGTTTACGGTAAAATCGGCTTACGATTGTATTGCAGGTGTCGAAGACAATGACGAGGATTGGAGCTGGCTGTGGAAACTAAACTGCTGGGAGAAGATTAAAACCTTCCTATGGCTGATTCTAAAGGGTAGGTTGCTCACAAATGTGGAAAGACATAGAAGACATCTGGCGGAGTCGTCCCTTTGTCCTTGCTGCGAGAACGGCGAAGAAACTCTTCGGCGCTTGTTGTGGGACTGCAACACGGCTAAAAGGCACGTGGAGGCTATCACCGACGCCAGCTCACTTTGGGTTTCCGGTCTACTGGAGTATGGAAGATTGGATCAAAGCGAACTGCTCGAACTGCACCAACAGGGATTGGCCAACAACCTTCGCTCTCACTCTCTGGGTTCAATGGAAGGCCAGAAACGATTGGGTTTTTAACAAAAATAAAATGACGCCACTGGCTTCTGCCTCGTGGGTGGCTGTTCATCTCAGGGAAATGCAGAACCTCTCGAAGGCAGCTACCACCCTCAATGCAAGTTTGACGTGGGTAAAGTGGTCGCCGCCAGGCCACGGTTGGTTGAAACTCAACACCGACGGAGCTTCTAAACAAGTGTCAGGCATGGCCTCGGCTGGGGGGCTTGTTCGGGATGAAACAGGAAAGTTGGTCTGGGAATTCATGGCTAAGATTGGAAGGACAAATAGCTTCATGGCGGAGTTGTGGGGCCTAAGGGAGGGTTTACGACTCTGCCATGAAAGGGGGGTTAGATTATTGTAGAAATGAACTCAAAGGGGGTGATTGACCTCATGAATGGAGACAAGGAAGATGACAGGGTCTATAACACCCTGCTTACGGAATGCATGGATTTGGCTTCCAGATTCGAAGGTATCATCCTCACACATGTCTTCAGGGAAGGTAATACTTGCGCCGATTTCCTAGCCAACCTTAGACAAGAAAAAGATTGGGGCACCTGGGTGTTCAGCGAAGCCATGGAAGGTTTGACGACTATTCTTGCCCGAGATGCGGGAGGAGCGTTCATTCGTAGAATACGTTAATCTTGAGGCTTAGCCTCTCTTTCCTCACCAAAAAAAAAAAAATTTAAGTATTGAATTTTCTATTTGAATTTTATATTGAGAGTTACATTAAATTGCCTGAAGTAATTGTAATTTTTTTTAAGGATTTATGAGTTAATAGTATATTAATTGCAAAATCCAAACATGCTTTGTATATTCATAAATTATTTTACAATAATTGTACATTTAGAAAAGCATATATTAAGGTTGGATATAGCATATTATTAACTCATAGTTCTTTTATATCAAATATCATTTAATTTTGGATCCTTAGGCTAGTTTTGGACATTATAGCCTATTAAGACGGCTTGTTTGGTTTCTCATTTAATTTTGAGCATACTTTAGTCCTATTTATCACTTGGGACTTTAAAACCTATTTTGAACAAGCTATTTAGGACCTATCTTGGTCAGTATGGATCCTGCTATTATTTCATTGATATTTTAATAATAATTGTAGCACTTTTATTTTATTTTAACATGTCTATTAAGTTGTAATTATTACTAACTACCGTACTTTGTTAACTACTTAACGGTGTGTATCGTTGATAATAATATAATGTTTGGATCTATTTCAACACTAGACCATTTATTATTCATGTTATAATTAACTTGGGCCATTAAAGCTATGGGCCTGACTTAAGCAATTTAGTGTTATAATTATTGTCTTTGCCTGATTTTGAGTCATTAAGTATTTAAGGATTACAATTACCATATGAAGCCATTAAGAATTTTAATTATTGTTTTGGTCATTAAGAATTATAACTATTATTTAAATTTATTATGTTTTTAATCTATTAATAGTTTTGAGGGTCTCAACAATAATCTTAAGTAATTTTTTTTTATGGCAAGCAATGTACATAGTTGATATATTGTATTTCCTCAACCCTAACCTTTGAATAGAAGATGTCATTGACAGCTTTCTACCTTTTCGAATAGAAGACGCTATTGAAGACGTGATTGCAATGACTAGTAGTAGAATTAGTGGACTTAACAGCACTCCAACTTGTAAGTACTTTACCCAATTTTTTTTAACTCTAAGTGTTATTTTGTTTTGTTGTTCGCAATTGAAATGTATATATGTATTTTTTCCTACTTGTGATGTTAACATGTGCATTTTGTTGTGTTCTATGCTAAAGTTTGGTAGGGACCTCTGATATAAAGCAAAAGGAAACACTAGTTTAATAGAAAAAGGGGAAAGCATATGTAGTTCAATAGAAAATGGGGAAAGCATATGGGGACCATTTGTACTTGCATGGAAATAAATATATGTATTTTCTGTTAGTTTCCCAAAGTTTATTTAAAAGCAGTGCATTTACTTGTTTGACCGTAAGCAGTATTGTGTTGTTGGGACCTATGAAGCATTTACTTGTTGGGACCATTTTTAGTGCAATTACTTGTTTGACTGTAAGTAGACCATTTTTTTGTTTTGGAAAAGTTGTAAATAGAATTGTCTTACTGCATTGTATAGATGTTGGTGAAGAAGCCTCTGTCTTTAGCATAAAACTTCATATTGGTGGGGTTTTAGTATGGCATCCAACAGTGGGTTATAGGAATGGTGGAGTGGAGTATTTTGACCATTTCAACTCTTATGAGGGCAGTTTATTAGATATAAGGAGAATGGTAAAACAATTAAGATTTTGTGATAGAAAGGTACAGTTTTGGGCTATGGTTAAAGGTAAGGGTAGAAAGAAGCCAACAAAAATTGAACTTAAGCCTCTAATCATTGACGCAGACATACTCAGTTTAGTTGGAGAGGTTCCACCAAACAAGGAGTTAGAAATATTTGTTGAACATTTATTTGATGATCAATGGGATTATGATGTAGAGTTATCTAGGGAATTGGGAGATGATTGCCTACTCTATGATGAAATAAATGAGAGTGCTGAAAATGTAGCTGAGGAGGATGAGGTAGAAGATGAAAATGAAGGTGAGGAAGACCCTAATCTTATGGATACTGTGACTAGTTCTAAACAACTGACGGCTAATACTGGGCAGGAAGGGGATGAAATTCATGAAGTAGATTTTGAATTGTCTGAAGAGCTCTTTAGGAGTTTAGAGAATTCAGATGATTCTGATGGTTAAGACTTAAGTGACAACTGGTGAAAATGTTTTCCAAGAAAGAAATATGGAAAAAGAAGGCTTTAAGTTTGTGATTGGAATGATTTTCAAATCAGCAACTGAGTTTAAATGGAATGTTAAGTATCATAAAGTCCACTTTGTAAAGAATGAAGGTAGAAGAGTCAGGGTTGTGTGTAGACACAATGACATTTGCAACTGGACTATTTTTGCCTCAATAAGCAATCCAAGAAGTCCATTTCAGGTTAAGACATACAACCCAGAGCACACATGTGGGGATCAAGATGAAAATAGAACAGTGAACTCTGGTTTTCTGGCCAAAATATACAAAGATGACTTAAAACTTAACATAGAATGGGGTAGAATATAGTTTCAAGAACATGTGAAGTCAAGGTTGAAATGCCAGGTTACTAAACACCAGGCTTACAATGTGATGATTCTGAACAGTTCCACTTACTTAATGATTACTATGAGGAATTGAAAAGAAGTAATCCTGGAACTTCTGTGAAGATGAAGGTTGATGGAGAGTTCATTGTAAATGGAAGACCAAGGTTTCTGAGGTTGTATATTTGTTTTGGAGCTTGCAAATAAGGGTTTTTGAGAGGCTGTAGAACTTTCATTGGGTTAGATGGTTGTCATCTTAAGGGTTGCTAGAAGGGAAGGCAACTATTGACTGCTGTAGGTCTTGATGGAGATAACAGCTTGTTCCCTATAGCATTTGCTATTTTTGACAGAGAATTGAAGGACAGTTGGTCATGGTTCTTGGAGTAATTGGACAATGATCTTAACATTTCAAATAATCCCTATGCTTGGACAATAATTTCAGACAAGCAGAAGGGATTGATTCCTGCTGTTGAAGAAATGTTTCTTGGAATGGAGCATAGATTCTGTGTAAGGCACATGCATTCTAACTTTGTAAAGGATGGTTTCACCGGGAATGTACAAAAACAGAAACTGTGGGCAGTGTGTAAAGCAACAACAGAAGCAGAATACAAATGGAGGAGTTAAAGGAGTTAAATGAGAAGGCTGCTGACTGGTTAGCTGCAAGAGATGTTAAACACTACTGTAAAGCATTTTCAGTACATTTCCTAATACTGATTTACTATTGAACAATTTGTGTGAATCATGAAATGGTACTATCCTAAATTTCAGAGACAAACCAATTTTAACTATGTGTGAGAAACTAATGATCTATCTTATGACTAGAATGCAAAAAAAAATAGAGAAAAACTTATTACTCATCCTATGAAGATTTGTCCAAAGATATGTAAGTTGATTGAATTGGAAAAGGACAAGGCATCTAGGTACATTACTTATAAGTCTACAGAAAACATTTACCAAGTTGACGATGAAAATTTTAAGGCCTTCAAGGTGGACTTAAATTAGAGGCATTGCAGCTGTAGAAGGTGGGATCTCACAGGCATCCCTTGCAGTCATGCCATTTCAGCTATAAGAAAACAAAGAGAAAACCCAGAAGACTATGTACATCAGTGTTATACAGTGGAGTCTTATTTGAGAGCATATGAGCTAGCAATACTGTCTATTTCATCTTCAGAGTTGTGGTCCAAAACCAATCTTCCAGCTCCACTCCCCCCAAAATATAAGGCACAACTTGGGAGGCCTAAAAAAAAGAAAGATCAACCCTCTTGAAGAGAACAAGAAAGATAGCATTGCACTAAGAGCAAAGAAGTTGGGGAAGTCAAAAGGTGCAGTGTTTGTGGAGTGAAAGGGCATAATAAAGCAACTTGCAAAATAAAGAATCCACAGGTACTTATTTCCAGAAGGCAATCCATATTGTAAATATAACTTGCTTATTTTTTAATGTTATTCATTTGTAGGTATCTGAGATTCATGAGGTAGTAGCTGGACATAGTGATGTACAAATTGAAGGCCAGTTAGAAGATATACCGGTTGAGACACAAGTCCCATCTTTTGGACTTGATGAGATGGTAATTGAATGAACTACTTTGAGCATTTAATACTGTTATTTTCTCAGTTGAACTTACTGTTGTTTGTGATGGAATTTCAGGAGTTAACATCTCAGCCAACACAAGTAGTTCATAGGCAATGCCCTCCACTGTCAAACTTTATTTCCTCACAACAGGCTGGAAGTTCTACTCCAAATGTCATCACAAGATCATGGAAGAAGTTTGTAACTGTTTCAAGCCTACAACAAGCTAATGCAGTCCAAAGAGATGCTAGAAAAAAAAGAGAACAACTCAAAAGGAGAAACAAAACTAAAAGTGTAGTTTGGTCTATTTTTGTATAGTCATATGGAATTTAACATGTTGTAGAAGTGACTTTGGTTTACTTTGGTCTAATTTGGTAGTAGTTGTCACTTTTGTAAACTTTGATCTGTGATCTTTTGGTAAAGTAAACCAAACAATGACACTTTTGTAACTTCAACATGTTAATGAATGACTTTTGTTGATCTTTATTTGTTAACTTTACATGTTAATGATATGTATTTATTATTCTGGTAGACTTTTGGCAGTAGACAGTAGGCTTGTGGCCTTTGGTTTGGCAATTGATTTTTGGCTTTTGGGTTGACACACTAACTTGGAGTTTAGCAGTTTGGTTTTTCTGCATTTTAGCAGTTTGGTATGAAGTATTGGTCAGTAGCATATGGTCTTTTGTTTGCCATCACTTGGCAGCATGCCATTCAAGTAAACAAAGTTTAACTTCCATACAAAAATATACTTCCATACATAAATATACTTAGTATTCAATTCAAAACAATGCTTACATACTTGATACTACTACTAATTTCTAAATCCTAATTGAGCTGGAAAAACTTTGGACTTGGTTCACCAGTTTTCATCCCAAGTCTGATATAAATAAAGGCAACTGCAATTCCAAATGCAAACCCATAAAAAAAGTGAAACATAGACTCCAACTTCTTCTTCTTAATCACATCAGTTTCTTTTTCAATTATGGTTTGTAGCCTTTGGATTTCACTCACCTTCTTATCTAATCTTTTCAATAGCCCTCTAATAACTCTGGAAACATGCTCAGAGACATAGGAGTCAATCCATTCAAAATACCTACAACTGCCATTACCCTGAAAGGAGTGTAACAAACAAAAACAAATAAACTATGTGTTTGTAAGTGTTGGTATTTAAGTAAAATGGTTTTGTATACTTACTCCATAATATGGACAAACTCTATATCTCTTCCCTAAATTCGCAGTACTCCACGACATCTTTACCGGAGCCAATTCGCCGCACCAACATCGCACTTCTGGCATCCATTGTGTTGAACCCACAGTGCTTGAAGACATTATCTTCAATAGCGTCTTCTATTCGAAGAGGTGGAAAACTGTCAATGGCATCTTCTATTCGAAGGTTAGGGTTGAGGACTGGTGACTAAAATGCGAGACTGGGCGAAGGAAGGGTAGAAATACACTTGTCTGATTAAATGCGTTGTGAACTTACAAGTATACCCATGCTTTAAACGGTGTTACAATTCGTAACTCACGAAGGACCAAAACGACTAAGGATCGAATAATTGAGGGATCAAATGTGTCCAAATTGAAAACTAAAGACAACATTGCATATTGGTTACTAATTGAGGGACCAAAAGTGCGATTTTCCCTATATAAAAATGCCAGTATCATTATTTTGTCCTGCATAAAGTTGAAAAAGGGCATTTAACATATAGAAAAATGCCAGTATCATTATTTAACAGGACGAAAAAATATAAAGCTGAGATGAGAGTGTACTTTGCAACCAAAAGGCAAAACACGTTCAGGGGGATGAAGCTTGAGCCAGAGTTCTTTAGCCTCGGTGTCAGCTGGAAGACAAGACTTCTCATCACCCCAAAATAAGTGGGCATAAATCTGATCCGCAGGCAGCTTATATACCTGTACAGCAATCAAATTCAAAGAAATTTGGATAAAAGTTAGGAATTTCAGGTTTAATAGACACTAATGCAGATTGAACACCGGTGGTGGTGTATTGATCATGACTCTTTGGGCCGCATAGATAGAAAAAATATAAACCGTAGAACAGATACTACATTGTAATAAAGTCAATAGTACTCAAATACACTAATGCAGGAGATAACATGCCTCTACGAGAAGTTCCCAAGCCCATTGAATAGCCTCTGTTTTGAAATAATCTCCGAAAGAACAATTACCAAGCATCTCAAAGAAGGTATGGTGATAAGCATCTCAAAGAAATGAACCTGCATTGGCAAAGAGGAGGGTCAGGTCATTGTGAGTGTTAAGAGTCCTGATAAAAATAAGGGAGAACATATGTTTTATAAGGTCATAGATTAAACTAATTAATTGGTTGAATTTTAGTTTGGCCAGTGTGTATTATAGTCCAGTGATCCTAACTCAATCTTAGTCTGAAACAGAACGGAACTTGACTGGACACATTGTGGTCCTTGCTTCCGAAGAATTGGAGGGAAGTATCCCGAACCTTTCTGGCCGGCCACTCCAATCCCGCCGCCGTTGGCTGAGAGCCCATCGTTGGAACTGGAGTCAAGCAGACACAGAGAAACGTTGCCGGAAAATACTACCTACTGCCGGAGCTTCCTCCACCGCAGTGGCTTAGTAAGAGGAAGAAGGAGGAGGTGGTTCGCGCCAATTTGCCGGGAAAAACAGAGCATAACGGATGTAACTACTGCCTGCTTTGGAATAAACCCTCATTCATCTCACGGACTTCTTAGGCTACCTAACGTGATTTATATTCTTAAATTGCATCAAATTAAATCGCTAAAATTTAAATACAGCATTTTCAATGTTATTGAAGCCAAAAGCTCAAATAAACTAGTACAGTTAGCTCTAGAACTTGAAGCAAAAGCAAGCAATAAGTTGGGATATACTCCATTAACAGAAACTCCACAAGCAAGATGCATGAAAATTATTACTACTGATTCTCAAGTCACAATAGGTGACCAGTTGATGAACAAAGTATCAACAAAAATTGAAGAAGAAAGAACTTCCACCCAAACAAAACAAAACAAAACAAAAACAAAACCAAAAACAAAAACAAAAACAAAAACAAAAACCCCCAAAAAAAAAAAAAAACAAACAAAACAAAACAAAAACAAAAAAAAAAGACAAAAACAAAACCCAAAGAAAAAACATCAGCTTTCTAAGATGCATTTCAAACAAGTGTCTTGTCTGGTCACAAAAAACAAATGAATATTTGTATGCAAAGTAGGTATCTCAAATATTAAACCAGGCAGAGGGTGGTTGGCTCAGCGGATTCGATTGAAATTAGCAAATGGCTCTGGATTTGACTTTTGCACCTGCTGTTTTGCTACTTCAGGGTTTCCAAAAACATTCCAAAATTTAAGTGTTTCGTCTGCTGCTGCAGATGCAACTGTGCAACCATCTGGACTCTGTAGATTATTAACAAAGAAATCAAAAGTTAGAACATTATCATTTAGTGTTTAACTTCTCCCTACATTTTCTCTGACATTTAAATTTCATAGCAAAAAGGTATTAACCTGAGCCATAAAAAGAACTCGGGATGTATGTCCAGTAAGCTCTGCCATCTTTACCATTGATGGGTATTTCCAGAGGGTAAGCTGGTTCTGTGTAAACCCATGAGAGCTTAGCAATTCACGCTCATTCTTGTTCCAAAGCAGTGCACAGACCTGTGACCCTGTATCAATTGAGTTTACACAGGTCCCACTATGGCTATTCCAGAACTTTATGCACCTGTCGCTTGCACCTCCACCAGAGGCCAGCAAGTTATCCCGAAAAGGACTCCAAGCAAGCGCCTTAACAGCAGCAGTGTGATCCTCAAGCCTGTGAAGCCACTGTGTCGTGGAGTTGGAAGAAGCTTTTGATCTGTCCCATATGTGGAGGAGATTATCATTTCCTCCACTAGCTAACTGCCGGCCTGAGGCAGACCATTTTAGGCCACAGACTTCTTGACGATGCCCTCTATATGTTTTTACAATGTGCATTCTCACTCGGACATCATTGTTGTTAATCAGACCATCCATGCCACCAGTAGTCAATATATGATTGTTCCAGTCAAGAGCACCGACTCGTGACTGGTGGCCGCCTCTCAAAGTTCTTAACTGCAGCAGACAGCAATAGAAAAAATATAAGTAAACAATTTAATGGCACTCCAAAAAAAGGTAAACAAGAAAATAGACAAGACTTAGAGAGAGTTTGAGAGGCAGACCAATTGGTTAACTCTGGTATCCCAAAGTTGCACATATGAATTGTTCAAGCCTATAGCAATATGTCTTCCGTCTGGAGCCCATTTAACACTTGTAACGGGTCCATTTTCATCATCAATTGTGACCAATTTGGAAGTGCTACCATTAGATGCATCCCACAGGTAAACAGTACTACCCAGAGCAATAGAAAGAACATTGCTGCTGCCCCAATCTAATAGATTCAAGTAGTAATCATCCACAATATCCGGAGCATCCAAAGTCCTCTCAGAAGTCTGCAGAAGCAAATCACAACTACAATAAGAACAAATAATTCCAAATTCAAGTAAAATTTGCATCCAAACTCCAGCATTATCAGGAAACTATGACCCCCACCTGAGGAATGTGGCGTGGGGGTTTAGCTGGTTTGGCTTGGAAAGCAGCAGAAGTGAACTCGTTTGGAATGCCTTCCACAGGGGTGGACGGTTTGTTTTTAAAAGCAAGGATCCGTGTCCGGTTCATGTTCAAGATCTCTGCAAGCTGCTTTAGATACGGTGAATTGGTGGCTGGAGTTTTATTACCTTTCATCCCTTCCGTCACCATATAATGGGCAAAATCAAAATCCATTGCAGACCTATTAGGAATAAACCTATCCAACTATATACAATAAACCAAAAAAGTTCAATTAGTTATCAGTATTTCACTGTTTCTAAAATCCTGGCTTTATGAGGAAAACTCACTCAAACAGAAAAAGGGGCACATTATCAAAATAAGATCACTAATGATTTCAAAGTATACCTTCACTTTTAAAAACTTAATCAGAACCCTAAAAATAGATTTGGGTAATTTATCAAATCAGATTAGAAATAAAACTAATTTAGCAAAGCAGATCAAAAGCAATGCCCAATTTCATTACCCAAAGTCCACAGATTTACATCAATAGCAAGATTAAGATCAAGGCCCTACTATGTACACTAGAAATTTTCCACTTAGTTTAATTATTTAAAAAAAAAAAAATGTAGCAAGGTAAAGATAAAATACATTTTCGCGATCATTCTTTCTTTGAAGGTACTCCTCGTGAAGAGGAAAACGGGATTGAGTCTTGTTCCATGAAGCAGAGTTCCGCAATCCTGCATCCATCACAACACGTTAATAACACCAAAAAAAAGAACAAAATAATACTGATACAATTTCAATTATGGATTATAACATAGAGATTAGAGAATCAATAGCGAGCAGCAAAGCGAGAAGGCGCAGAGGAAACGAGTGAGAGAGAGAGAGCGCGCAGAGGAAACGAGAGAGAGAGAGAGCGCGCAGAGGAAATTGATATTGAGAGCGTTGTAAATTTTTTTTTGAATGTTGATACAAATATATTACCCGGAACAGAACCGTTGGAATTTATTTATTTATTTTAATTTTACATTAGGTGTTTAATGTCCATCCTCCATCGGTCCCCGGAAAAGAGTGTAGTAATGTATGCGGCGGTTATGAATATAGCTGCCGTATACAAGTCATTTGCTTTTTTTTTTTTTTTTTTTTTTTTTTTTTTTTTTTTTAATTTTGGAAATATGCAGTGGTTATGTATATAATTGCCGTGTATACTATAATTGTTTTTTTTTTTATTTTTAATTTTGAAAGTATATAGGACGATTCTGTATATACCTTTTAAAAAAAACTGAAAATGTATAAGGCGATTATGTATATAACCACCGTATATACTATATTTCACGCCTTCTTTAACCTAACACCACAGCTTCAAAGACTCAACAAATTTTCCCTCAATGAATATTTAAATTTTCCTCCCATAGCTTCGTAGACTTAATAAGTAACTATGTGTGGCTTCCCTTCGTTTCCCCACTTATCTGACATTGGTGGGATAAGTGGGGATTTGAGCCTCAAGGTTCCATAAGTCAAATTGGCACAGCAAAAAACATACACAAATTAGGTATGCATCACAAAAAACGAGCCATTAGATATGAATAAATACATCATACAGTGTTCAGGAATACACTATTGGTGTGTTTCAATGTGGTGTGTTTTATTACACTATTAGTGCATGTTGTCAACTCTATTGGTGTATTCTGGAACCCGGCCGCTATAAATGGCAACTGTAATTACCATACACTATATGCTCTGGAAGACACAACAATGTGCTTTGGAAGGCTCAACAATATGCACACTAAGGCAAAACGATATACTTTTCGAAGGCACAACAAAGTGCTCTGGAAGACACAACAATATGCTCAGAGAGGCTCAATAATGTGCACTGGAAGGCATACTAGTGTGCTCTGAAAGGCATAACACTGTGCACTACCAGAAAGAAAATAATGCACCAGAAGACAAAAAAAAAAAAAAAAAAAAAAAAAAAAAAAAAAAAAAACTAACTTATCTACACAAAATTATCGTAACGTCACCACGTTTTTTTTTTTTTTTTTAAATATCTTCATTCTGGACCCTTGATCTAGACTGAATCAACGGATGAAATTAAACCATATTTTTCACCTAATGATTCCTTCGCACTTTATCTGTACTATATATATATATATATATATATATATATATATATATATATATATATATATATATATATATATATATATATATCTGGCAGTAGTAAAGAGAAGAAGAAGGAGCAAAGCTTTAAAAACTATTTGAAAAAAATAATATTTTGAAATATAAATTCTCAAAACAATGCCAGCTAAAAAGACAATTTGTACAAAAAATTGAAAACATGGATAAAAAATTTATTCAAGAATATTTGGAAAACAATGAAAATTTTCAAGTTGAAAGAAATTTTGAAAACATATTTACGACATACTATTTAGATGAAAAATCTAAAGATAAAGAATTTCTTGAATATACAATAAATATTCCAAATTTCAACGAAAAAATTTATTATCTACTTAAAAAATTTCCCTACCCAGACTTGGTAAAACAAATTATCAAGTATTTAAAATTTTTAACATTCCAAGAAAAATTTGTATTAGACAAATTAAAAGAACAATTAGAAATAGATTTTGAAGAAGAAAAATTAGAAAATTTGGTTGAAGAAATAATCGAATTAGTTTCTCAATCAAGACACATTAAAAATTTTGAAGCAGAATTTCATCAACAGCATGCACACATAAATTATGAAATAGGAGACTCCTATAGACATTCAACTCCTGTTTATCCCATAAATTACGACTCTGATAATTATGAAAGTTACTACAGTGGAGCTGAAACTGAATAATTTTAGCAATTTTGAAATGTCTTCAACTATCATTTTTTACACCTTAAATTTAATTTTCAACTCCTACACACATCCAAACTCTTCATCAAAATTTATTTCCGAACAAATAAATTCAAACAACATTTCTACTTTGTATTACATCCTAACTAATTCAAAAAATATTAATGCTATGTACTACATGTCATGGATTAGTCACTTCAACTTCTACACATACCCAAACTCTTCAAAAATTTTCTCCGAAGTTATAAATTTAAAACACTATTCCACTTTGACTTATTTCCTAACTAATCCAAAATTTATTAATGACATGTACTACATGTCATTGGATAGTCATTTCAAAAACTACTCCACCATTTCTTTTTCACAAATTACTATCCTAATTCTTACATGTTTTATTTTTCACAAAGTAAACCTCTGCGGAGGCATACCCCCCCATATTTGGTATCAGAGCCTATTACGATTCTGAGAAAATTATATGATTCATTCATATTTAAAATTTTTAATTCAGAGACTTAGAGCACTTGAACAAGAGCTTCAAATTTATTTCAAAGAAATGCATAAGTATCATTACTTACAAAATTGGAAATATTATGAAGAATTTTATTGGAGACATAAATTTACCCTTAATAAAATACAAAAACTTAAAAGTTATATTACAGAAATCTCTGCATAAATTTCATTATCTAAGGCTTAGAAATTAAAATGATTCATTCATGTTTAAAATTTTGCATTTGAAAACTTAGAAATTATGAACATAATCTTCAAGTTTTTCGAGCAGATATGCAATACTATTGTTATTTACAAAATTGGGAACAGTGTGTATATTCCTATAATAATTATGAATTTACAATTAAGAAAATTCTTGAACTTAAAAGTTATATTACAGAAATTTCGGCATGAATTTTTCTGAAAAAATTTCACATTTAAAATATTACCAAAAATTTTATAAAAATAGAGCATTAGAATATAAAAAATGGTTAGACACTGAAGGGAAAAATTATGATCTAAATTCTTCTTTTTATAAAACAATGAAAAACACTTATGAATCTCACAAAGACATTTTAGAAGAAATTGAAAATTGTATAGCAAAACTAATCTGTTAATATGAATCAGTCAAATGAAATAATTTTAAAACAAATTGATTATTTAAAAACTATGATGGAACAGCAAGAAAAGAAAATTTCAAATTTACTAAAATTAATTGAAATTTTTAATACAAAATTTGACTTAGTAATAAGAGAAAAATAAATAATTGAAAATCCAAAATTAATTGAAATAAATAATTCCATAGATTACATTCAAAAAAAAAAAATAATTCCATAGATTTGCTATCTAAAAAATTTTCTAATATTCAGATTTCTTCACAAATTAAATCCAAAACAAAAAACTTTTTGACATACAATTTTTAGGAAGTCAAGAAAAATTTAAATAAATAATGAATCCTTTTTCAGGAAGGTCAAGAACATTAACTTCAGAAGAACCTAGTTCTTCTAGAATTAGCACACTAAACCAAACTAATAGTCCCTCTTATTTAAACAGACTTTTTAAATTTAACTCAAACAAAAATGCCTATAAATTAGAACAAATTGTTGACACAGAAAGAGATTTAGAAATTATGTCAAATGATTGCATTACTACATTAAGACCAAATATGTTATACAGAACTGGTGTTTTAGAAAACAATTTCAGTTTAATTAGAACACATAGATCCGAAATGTTAGAAATACCAGAAGGAAGGACTGAAACGTTCGGATTATTAACAAATGAAAGTATAAATCAAATTTCTTCCAAAAACTTAAATTATATACATTTGGGATTAATTACAATTGGAGTAAGAGGATTACTAATAAAACAAAACGGGACAAAAGTCTTAGTTGCTGTTTTACACACTAGATATCAATCCTCACTAAATAAACAAATTATTGGGGTAATAGAAGTAGACATGAATAATAATATTGGAATTTATTATTTATGTCCAAATTATACTATTGCCTTAAAAGACATTAAGTATTTAAAAATTCAAGTCCAAACAAAGGGATTTGGAAATTTTAAGGGATCAAACATTGTGTTAGACGTAATCTTAATGGGAAGATTATCCACACAAGTTTGCCCAAGATTTAAAATTAAAATTGATAACATAATTAAGACAATTGAGTCTAAAGGAATCAAATTCTTTGGACCAGAACCAGTCTCTTCTTCTCTTCTGGCAGGAGAAGAATGGAAAATTGAAAACTTAACTACTGAAATTGAAACTTTAAAACCAACAGAGGTAGTAACTTATACCAATGAAAACGGATCTTTATTATTAAGATTCAAAAATTATGAAAACTCTAACCAATAAGACCCAGAAGAAGAATAGATTATGGATTCAAAAACTTCAGGAGCACTCACATTAGAAGAATTTCAAAAAATTAAAAATGAAGAGTTAATTATGGAAAAATTAAACCAAGAATTAGAAATGAGAAATTCAGAAAAATATAACTTACTGGAAAAATATCTAAATGATATCCACAAATTAAAAGAGAATTTTGAAAAAATTGAAGAAGAAGAAAACATGAGTCTAGAAGAAAATTCAATAAAAAATTTTATGAATACGGCAGAAACTAGTACAAATCAAAACACTGCCAGATCTGCATATTATCCATCTGCTACTCCTGAACAGATGGCTTACCCAGTAGGACATCCTCCTAGACTACCTGTCACAATTTACAACCAAAACAATCCTAATAGGAGAACTTTGGGAAAAAGAACTCCTCATGAAATTCAAATATTAGGAAAAGATCCTATAATTTTAAACATTGCTAATATTCATCCACAATTATTAGATAATTATTTAGAGCAATGGACTGCCATGATGATTAGGGACTTTGAAAGTAGACATTTCAATATCACAGAAGGTGATGAAATGATCAAAATTGCTGAAAATTATCTGGGAGATATTGTTAGGGCTGCATGGGAAGCCTTTAAAACAAATTTTCCAGACAAATTAGCGGAATTAATTGCTCAAGGGAGCAATATACATAATTTTGCTTATTTAATACATAGAATTATCACAGGCAGAGATGCCAACACTGGACTAACAATTAGACAAGCAGAAGCTATGAGAGACT